CCCTAGAAGAAGCCTGGCTGAGGAGTTTTCTCTAGACCTGCGTCCGTGGGGACAGGGACGCTTTGTTGGCACCTGGATTTGGTCAGGATCAATTCGTTGGTGGTGCCTCCTGAAGCTGGTCGTTCTTATTGTCTCATTCTTGCAAGCCTGCCCTTCTTCATCCTGTGTTTTTGTTTTTTGGAGTGAGTCAGATCACAGTGCTCCGGGCTGTCTGTTTCCCACACTCCTCAGCCCACTCGGGATTTAGTGCAGAGCATTGGCAGAGGCGGTTCACCGGCTGCAAACTGCTTATTCACCTGCCCCATCACCCGCCACCCGGGTGGCCCAGCCCTGCATGTGCTGGTTCCCTCTACACAGGTCTGTGACTATATCCCAGTGCATGTAAGGAGACCCAGGGAGTATGCCTTTCCCAGCTGCCTGTAAGGGATGTTTTGTTATTGTTCCTTTCAAAACTTGTAATATCCCAAAGTATGAGCTGTCACAAGTCAGCACTTTTCTGATTTAATGTTTCTAGATGCCACTGCAATGCAAATCAGTAGATGTCTCTATTCAGATATTACTGTTCAAGTACTACCTTTAAATCATACAACTAATGCATTTATCTTAACTGAAGGTGAAAATGTTGCATGCTGTTATTTATGTTGGTTTTTTTTTAATATGTTTTCAGGTAGTTTGATTCCAGCAGAAATACTGGACTAAGGACATAGGAATCTGAAGACCTCTTTTTCTCCTAGAAGAGGTGAAGAAGCTAAGAAGCTAGAAACAGTAACGTTAAAAATCTCTGAAGGGATTTATCTGCAAAAGGCATGTACTTACTGATAATATGGAATGAAAGGGGGTTCATTTGCAGATGAAGAAAATGATCAGCTGGAAGGTGCTATTGGCCAGACATGATCTTCTTTCTCAAATCTGATATGTGAAGTGATTTAGCCTTTGGAGGTTTTCCCTATCATTGTAAAAAAATGTTGTGATTATAAGAATTGTTGCTTTGGGTTAAACAGAAGAGTAAGCAAAGTTTTATTTTAAATCTAAAAACCCATCCACTTTTTGCAAAAACTGAAGGTGTATTCCTTTCAGAAGCTCTGGGTTTGAATGAATTGTATGCCAGTTTGCATCCACACCGAAGTAAAACTAAGTAAATGAATCCATATTATACTTTATTTTTATCAGCTTTGTTACTTGGGCTGTAGGCAGGACTGTGTTCTACTTCCTGGGTAGGGAGGGGGAGGAAAATCAGGTATTTTTTTGAAATCCCTGTGGAACTCATAGAAATGCAATACTTTGTGGTAGCACATTTTATAAATTACAGTGCTTGTCACTTTAGAATATTTTTCTTTTTCAATTTCGTATATTGTTCAGGGTCCTGAAATTCTTTGGCCTTTTGTCTGGCTTGCAAAATGGGGAACATACTTACAAAGTGTAAAAAAATATATGTTATTTTTATTTTAAAGTGGGTTAGAGACCATGATTATTTGTATTAAATCTATGTGGTGTAGGATTTTCCCCTTTCATGAAAAGGAAGCAGAATTATATCAGGCATTGGTATTTCTCCAGCTAAAGAACAATAAATGAATAATGCAAAGTGGATATAATCACTGCATCCTGAAGTTTAGCATGCTGTTGATATTTTTTTCTTTTTTTCATCTGAACTTCTACTTCCTGTTTATTCATTGTTTCCAGTGATAAAATAAGGAGAGATGGGAAATCCAGAAAGCATTGGAGATGCATATGTTGCTGTGATTCGTCCAAAAAATACTGCTAGCCTGAATTCTCGGGAATATCGAGCTAAATCCTACGAAGTAAAACTATTTAAATTTATCTTTTTTTTTTTAATTAGTTATAGTGATTATCTAATAATATAGCAGAAGATAAAATCTGACAATAAGATTGCTTAAGTAGTGTCTGTGTGTGTCATCTACCTACTATGCATTGCCCCGTGCTTATGGCATTTGAACACTTTACGGTTTTGTAATATCTTTGTGTTTTATTTCATTTCAGGGCCTTTTGCCCTGTGGGCTGCTCCGTACAAGGGTGCAGTCTTGTCTTTTTCTCTTTAACCTTACCATTATGGAGGTCATTCTGACTTTGCCGTTTTGCTCCTCCACATTCAATACTTCCTGAATTTTGTTACTGTTTTTACAGTGGTACAATAAATAAGTCAAAAAAACACCCAAAAGATCCGTGCTTGTTTCAGTTGTGCTTAAACTCCTTTGGTTTCATTATTGTTTGAAAGATCTTGTTGCTTGAAGTTCCCATTGAAGGCCAAAAGAAAAAAAGAAAGAAAGTTTTGCTGGAAACTAAACTGCAGGGAGGCACTGAGATAACCCAGAGCATCTTGGATTATGTATTAGAAGCCACCAAACCAATTTCACCAGCCAATCAGGGTATTAAAGGTAAAAAAGTTTTAATCTGATTTATTGTTCTTAGCTCTATAAAAATACTTTAAAATTAAATGGGCATTGAAAGTTTGTGTAAAAGCATTAAATTAATTTTAAAAAAGAAGGTATATTTTGAGGTTCATAAAAAAAAAAATCAAAGCCAACTATACGGCTAAAACTTTTAATTTGTCTTTGTTTCCCTTTACCTTCCAACTCTATAAAATGCTTACTAAAATATTTTTATTGTGACATTTTACCTGTCTGTACTACTTCTTCACCTCAGTTTGAGATTTATAGCTAAACTTCTGGTAAACCAGACTGAAGTGGCTTTTTTTTTTTTGGCTTGTGAATTGATCACTTCTAAAGTCTGTTCTAAGGCCAGCATTGTTCAGTATGCGGTATCTACATTAAAATGTTTCTGGCATAACTGTATCACTTACAAACATAATTTGATTAGTACATTTTTTTTTTCATTGTTGTTGCATAGCTGGTCTAGCAAACAGCCTCACACTTGTGCTGACAAAAAATGTTTTAGCCAACATATTTCATTTCCAAATTGGTATGAGCTGTATGGACTAAAGCACTTTTTTTTGCCGTGTACCTCATCTCTGCATTGTAAGTAAGTAAGGTTATACTGGGAAGGTTGTCACTGCAGTCAAGAGAATGAAGTGCTAACAGTCAAGGAAATGTTGTGAGTGTTGCTAACTGGAGTTGGATGGGCTTAACAAAGCTAGTTGAGCAGCAAACATAACAGCATTAATACACATTGGGGAATGCCTAGTGAAAGCAGAAACTATCTGTTTCTTACACAACTTAGAGAGATTTAAATTAACTCACACAGAGGGCCAAACCATTAATATGCACAGCTTAGTGTGCCCACTGCTAAAATGTGCAGCTGAGGTCAGAAAAGTAAACAAAATGCTAAATTCTGTAAGGGTGGTAGGGAAGATAATGTGGAAAATACTATTATACCACTATACAAAAAAGCATTCACTCTAACATGAAATATAGCATGCAGCTGTGCTTTCCCATTTCAAAAAGAATCTTGTTTAACTTAAAGATACATGGTTTAGGGGGTGAATGCTACAAAAAATCAGGGGTATAGAAAAGTTGCTATGAAAAAAGGGGTACAGTCGTGTCATTTTCCCTGTTAATGGATATATGTATATTTATGTCCTTTATTTTTTTGTCTGTATTTAGATTTCCTTAGCTTGCTCGAAATTATAGCTTGTAAGAATAATAATTTTTTCTTCCTAGAAATGAGGAAGATTGAGTCTGGTAAAGTTTTCAGATAGCCAACTCTAGATTTGTTTGTTTGTTTTGTTGGTTAATTATTTTGCATTTTTAAAATATTGTACTAGGAAAGCGTGTAGTGTTAATGAAGAAGTTTCCTCTTGATGGAGAGAAGGCAGGCCAGGAGGCATCACTTTACATTGTTCCAACTGTTGTGAAAGGTAATGTTGAGCATAATTTCTGAAGTTGTACCCATTTTATCAGAAGTTCATTTGAGGGTTTATTAAGAATTTTTATAAATATGCTGTATGGCTTTTTCTGTATTTAAACATTACAAGTTGCATTCAGCTGGAAACCCCTCTCTGAATACTTTAAAACTTGAAAAAGTTACTTAAAATTAAGGAAAAACCCTTGTTTTTAATGTGTTGCCTTTGTTTCTGTAGCAATAGTGCACTTCTGTTTTAAGCTGTATTTGTTCACTTCATTATATTTCAAAACACATGCATTAACTTGTACAGAATTTACTGAATGCAAGTGTAAGGAAGACATCCTATTCAGTTCAGTGTTCTTTACTCAGAGAAGAATGCTTACTGAAGTCCGTAAACAGTTTTGTTTGAATAAGGAATAGTGAATAAAGTCTTTAGAAGGCAAAGTAAATTGCTTGTCAGGGAAATATTTTTTTAAAAAGCCTTAAGTAAATGTCTGTGTGCTTTTGGGGAAGCTCCTTCGTTTTTGCCTTACTGATAGACCTTAAGGATAAAAACTATCAAATAAAGACTGTTGTGGGGTTACCAATAGCAGTAAATACCTCTTCTATTCCTGAGTCCTGTTCTTTTCTTCTGGCAACAGTACACATTTAATATTAATTCCTCAGATGAAGCTGATCACACTGATGGAATAGCAAGTGAACACTTTAAGGTTTTCAAGGCTACCCTGTTGAGTTGTGAATTGTTACGTGAGGATTTTATGCAATTTCTATCAATTATCATTGGGGAAAAAATATGTTACTCTAGTCTAAAGTTAGAATATACTCTCAATTAGTTAGGAATGTGTAACTATAAAAGATGCAGACAGGAAAATAAGATTCTTCTCATTGATGTGTCCTCAGAGTATGTTTCTTTTTTAGATAATACGAAATACACATACAGTCCTGGATGCCCTGTGTTCTACTGTTTACAAGACATCATGAGAGTCTGCAGTGAATCCAGCACACATTTTGCAACACTTACTGCAAGAATGTTAATTGCCTTGGATAAGTAAGAAATGCCATCAGTAAAAATACATGAAAATAGAAGTTAAACAAGATAATTTGTAGATGTAGCACATAGTTTTTATAGCATTTTCATGATTAAGAAAGAAGTAATTGTTGTATCATGTTATTTTCTTCATGTTTATCAGGAACTGAAACCTTGACAACAGATTTCTAAATCTTTCTAAAAATCTTTTTGCAAACTCAAGAATGATGTGCTTATCTAAATCAAATGGCTTTATGGAAGTTTTTGCTCACAGTGAATGTTTTGTAAAATCATATGAAATATTAATGATTAATCTTCTATAAGTGACATAATTGTAATCTTTAAGAGTATTTACCAGAGTGTAGTAAAAATATCCTTTTAACTGTATACCATTAACATTTTCATTTAAATTAAACCTCCCTTTAGAAAGGAAGTGCATCTTCCCCAGCCATACAAATTGTTGTTTAGCCAGATTTATAGTAGTTTGAAAATTGAGTATGCAAGCAGTTTTTTGGTCTTTTTTATGTAGCCTTGTTAAAGAAATACCAGACATACTTATGTATGATCTCCTTTGTGTTAATTAAGTTAGCTGAAACTCTTGGCTAACATGAAAAATTATACGTTACAGGCTGTTACCTAAAAAGGTTCTTTGTGTAGGGTTTTTGCAGTTTATTAGTAGAGTGGTAATATTTCCATGTGTACCATCATATCAGTTACATTTATTGCTGCTTAATGAAAGCCTTCAGACTCTAAGCTCTGCTTAAAATGTGTTATGAGCCTTACGGTCATGAGAGAAGCCTTGGAAGTGTAATGAAAATACTTTATATTGATTATTCTCTATGTATGTAATCTGAAACAACATTTCTCAAAGATTCAAATTACTATAACTAATGTAGCTAGCAACTAATTAGAGGAAATGCCTGAACAGACCTCAGAGACGCAGGAGGGTGGTTATAGCACAACCACCACAATTTTACAGTCGTCCTTCCCAGTAGGACCATTAATAAGTGACAGGAATATGGCTTTTGCAGCACATGATAGTTTGGATGTGGGATTTAAAAATCCAGGCCTAAGCATATGCGTTGAACTGCAGGCCACGTTCTGCCATCCTTCCATATGGTTCTGAGGCAGACAAGATCCATGTGGTCTGTCAGTGGATCTGTCTTTTGAAAGCATGTACTTATCTTTCTTCCATATTTCCAGACAAAACCACTAAACAGAATTTATTGTATTCCAGCAAAGTACATGTTTATCTCAAGCTTGTGAGAAAGTGCATGCAGAAACCTAAATACAAACCTGGCTTTCGACCCTTAGTTAAAATGTGCCCCATTCAACGTAATACTAAAATAATTCAGCAATTCGGTGAAAATATATTTATCCAAAAATTGAGATTAATAACTTGTCCTGAGCCCTGTGTTACATTACACATGTGGCAGGAAAAAATGCAGCAGGTGTACAGTGTTGACTGTCACCAGTAGCTTAGAGTAAGAAGGCTCTAAAGCCCTTCTATGCTGTCAGTAGGAGTGTGCTTAAAAGAGAATAACCTTCAGCACAGCTTTGTGAAAGGGCAGGCAGTAGCCTATGTGAAAGAGACTTAGCAACTTGGAAACCAGACCTTCTGATTTTTTCCCATCTCTCACTAGTGAAACACATTAATTAGAAGGCTTAAGTCAGCACAGATATTGAAACTTCAACTCACCCTTAAAAAAACTGATGTAAGTTTCAAAATTTGTATGTGGAGAGTAATAATCCTGATAAAGTGAATGTAAACAAGACAGTGACATGTTAGTGTGGTTAAGTGTTTTGGCTATAACCAATGTTGCTCTTAACCTTAGCTTATAATTTCCTTTTTGAGAGTTTACATCCACAGGAAATCTGTTTGAGCATTTGCTTAACTATATTTGGTTAAAAAAAATCGTGGTTGGAGATTGATTTAGTGCTATAAAATTGGCTGCGCACATTATAATTAAAATTATTTTTTAATTAAAATGTGTGGTTATCATACATGCAACCCTTAATCAAACAAAATAATGGACAGTCATGACCAAAATAGTCCTTTTCTACTTGAAAATGAATTGCTTTCTACTCTTCTGCAGGTGGTTGGATGAACGGCATACCCAGTCTCACTCCATCCCAGCTTTATTCAGACCATCTCCTCTTGAGAGAATTAAAACAAATGTAATAAACCCTGCCTATGCTATAGAACCTGGTCAAACAGAGAGCTCATTGCACATGGGTTACACTGCCCTAGAAATAAAGAGTAAAATGCTGGCACTGGAGAAAGCAGATATGTGTATATATAATCCTTTGTTTGGATCTGACCTTCAGTATACCAATAGGGTAAGAACTATATTTTCATTTTATATTTGTGAAACATACATACATTTTCATTTTAAAGTTCATTCATTTATTTGATATGAGTGTGTGCTTTATGTTTAATGTATCAGATTTCTTTATTGCGCGCTTACTGTGAAATGTTTTTTCAAATCCTCACATTTGAACACCATTCTCTTTAATTGTAAAATGTTACTGTCATAACTTTTGTTTCAAGAAAATACCTGGTCTGCATAGGGGATTGTTTAGCCAAATCTCAGTAAGATATTTTTTCAGTTTTGCTTAAATTATGTCTTCACAGGTTGACAAAGTGGTAATAAATCCATACTTTGGCCTTGGAGCCCCAGACTATTCAAAGATTCAGATTCCTAAGAGAGAAAAGTGGCAACGTAGCATGAGCAGTGTCACAGAGGACAAGTATTATATTACATTCCTTTTTCATTAACAGATTATTTTGTTTTGTTGTATTACAGTGGTACTTGTTAGGCTTGGTCAGAATGAGATTCATATTACTTTTGGGCTTTACTGTATAAATACATATTTTTAAAAATTCTATTTGAAGCCTCTAAGTACTGAAACATGACAATTAAAGGACGGATCAAGAAAGGTTTAAATTATAAACATTAGGGAAGCATTTCTTAGCATAATGAATACAGCTGTGGCTTGACTACTGCATGACTAAAATACTAGTTGTATGAATACTGGCACATTTTAGCCGCATGAGCTTCATTTTTATTCTTGATGTAGATCTACAGTTAGTGCTAAGTTAGTAATTTTTAAAAAGTCAGTGTTCTCTTCTGTTGAAATATTTCTGAACAGTATTTTCCTCCTGTTTTCCTTTTTAATTCTTAGGGAACACCAGTGGGTAGATGATTTCCCTCTTCATCGCAGTGCTTGTGAAGGTGACTCTGATTTACTAAGCCACCTTCTGGATAAAAAGTTTTCTGTTAATCAGTTAGATAGTGACCACTGGGCACCTATCCATTATGCATGCTGGTGAGTCAAATGAATATAGTTTTGCCAATCAAATGCATTCTTGCTATCATGATTCTTTAGCACTAATCAGTTATGTAATTTATCATACAGACTCAAAAAAGAGAAATCAAAAGAACTCTAGACTTTTTACACTTTGACTCTAACATATGTTAGTGTTAACCTTCTGAAGAGAAAGATTGCTTCAGGTTTTGAGATAATTTCAATCTAAATGGTTTCAGAGGGCACCACGTGTGGAGACTGTATCATCAAAGACTTATCTGTTGCCTCTTATATCTGTCCTGAAGGATCTGTTCTAATTCCTGTTGGAGGCACTGGGTCTAGTTTAGTGTAGTAACTTTTACAGTCATAGTTGGTTAAAGGCTGGGAGCAGTTTTACATCACAGCAATAGCTGAGCTGAGCACATGTTGGTGATGGTCAAGCTTTGAGTAGAAAGCTGGACTATGTGATCTACAGAGGTCACCTTATCTGACTATAATGCTGTGATGATTTAACCTGTAAGTACTTGAGAGCTTTCCTCAGTTGTTGTAAAAATGCTTTTGTTTTGTCTTTATGCAAGTTAGTTTTCTGTATTTATAGTATTGTCTGTTGATAAGAATAACACAAAAATCGAACTTGGTTATAAAAAAAAAAGAACCAACTTACTTGATTTTTCAGATTTGTCAGAAAGTTTGCATAAACAGCATAAACAAGATTTACCAGTTACCAGCATGAGGCTTAAGAGTCCTCAGAATCCATCTGCATGAAAATCAGAAGCTTTACTCTGATTCTCACACAGATTTTTTTTTTTTTTTTCAGGCAAAGCTAAGCTCTGTTTTGTCATGACTGAATTGCTACAACTACCCAAACTTAGCTAGTTTAAAGTGACATTTGCTGTGTCTATAATGATTCCAATAAATGGTTACCAGACCAGTGGTTACCAAAGAAGTGCAGAGCTGATACTAATTTCTACAAACTTACTAGTTTTCCACTGTCTTTGATGTCATTTCAAAGCTAAAAACTCTTGAGCATAGAAACACACTTCCATATTTAGGACTGTCTGGAAAAAGATTTTGTTTTTCATTTGGTGTGTTTGTTCTGCTTTAAACCTGTCTGCAGGTATGGAAAAGTTGAAGCCACTCGAATGCTGTTGGAGAAGGGGAAATGCAATCCGAACCTTTTGAATGGCCAACTTAGCTCTCCTCTTCATTTTGCTGCTGGAGGTGGCCATGCTGAAATAGTACAAATTCTACTAAATCATCCAGAAATAGACAGAGTAAGTTCTGTTTGTGGATAGAAATAGCATTTTGTGTCCAGATCACAGTGTGTAAACATAATGATCCTGTTGAGAGATTACCAAAAATGGTTAAATGTTTTTCATTACTTCCACTTTTTCCATTGTATATTAATTAAATGTTTGAACCCTAGCATCAAGAATGTTAAGTATCTCAAAAAATGTGGAAATATTTATATATCTCCAGAGAAAACAATGTATTATCAGTGTTTCTGTTTCTGTTTATAGCATATCACTGACCAACAAGGAAGATCTCCATTGAATGTCTGTGAAGAGAACAAACAAAATGAGTGGGAAGAAACTGCAAAACTGCTGAAGGAAGCCATAAATAGACCTGTATGAGTTTATTTTCTAAACAGTTTAAAGTTTAGATTTAATTTACACATAAACTTGTAGAAGAGCTAGGCCTACTTGTAGCTATTACTGGAAATGTGCAGTGTACTGAAATTGTTAGGGTAAATATTGACAAACTGACATTTTGTCTCTTTAAATGTTTCTGTCTATTTTGTTGCTCAAGAAATACATTTAAGACTTTAAATGGGATGTTTTGTTTTATTTGTAGGAGTATCATGTCAGCTACCAATTTATGTCTACTTTTGATCATACAACCATTAGCTTTCTTTATGCATCGTCATATGTTGATAAATAGGAGCAATCAGCTGGCTGAATGTAGGCTTCTACAAGATGGGCTTTACATCAGTTAAGTTGGTGTAGGCTTCCTTGGCAGTCAGTGGAGATCTAGCCAGGAGAGTAAACAGAATTTACGATGCGATTCATCTTGTCCTGAAGTAGATTTTAAATTAGCCAAATGATACAAAATCACTTGTTTTTTTTCTTTGACTTCAATTGTACCTTGTATCTGTGTAGGTAGGTGGCAGTAAACCTGTCGGTTTTTCAAGATGTTTTAAATTGTCTTCATTTCACTCTATATGAATGAATCTTTCAAAATAATTAATGAAGAAATTGACCTCCTTTATTTTAGGGACCTTACTATGCAGTTGGTCAAAAGGCAGATCTGTGTTTAATGACTCTAAAAGACTAATGCACAGATTTTAAGTAGATTTCACAGGGTAATCGATTATATTGTGTTGTCACGTATTACTATTGAAATAATACATTAAAATTTTAAAAATGATAGAAATTACTGCAATAGGAGTCACAGTGACTACTGCAGCAAAAATAGACTCATGTTTTATATTTCAGCCTCATTTTCAGTTACTTGGTTTTTTCCAAGGCATTCATGGTTTTTTTTCCAGAAGTATTTAGGAACTCAATTTTTTGCAACTAAGTAGATTTGAAGAAGGGAAATAACAAATTCCTGACACTTTTTTATTCAAGCATCTGAACATTTAACCTGTTAGATGAAAACAAGAAATTTCATTGATTTATTACTTGTGTGTATATGTTTTAAGCACTTGATCTATGTTTAAGTATGTTTTTCAGGAAGCATACTCTGGGCCCATATGCAATTCAGTGAAAGCTATGTTCTGAAGAGCAAAATTAGTTTTGTTGGTAATATTATGGAAGTGCTAAAAGATGTTAGTGAGATTGTATTCTTATTGTACCAGGGTCTGTGCAAAGGGTGGTGCTTCCCTCTGAAAAATGTCTTTTTAGTATAGACTAATGAGGGGAATAATTCATAACCTGCCAGTAATAGTGAGGTGGACATTTCAGGATACGGATAGGTAGTTGAGCCCAAAATCCCTCAGGGAACTTTTAAATGCCTGCTTGCCTTTGAGTTCAACAGAAGTGAAGTCCTCAAAATATCAGTAAGATCTTTCTTTGAGTTGTAAAAATCACAGTATAAGAACTTGCACAGGATATTAAACAAGCAGTCTTGATAAATAGTAAATATGCAGGAGTTGTGCAATGTTCTTTTTCTCGACAGGATAGATGTTGATGAATTGTGTTAAAATTGCTTTCCTCTTGAGAAGCATCAAGAGAAAGGATTTAACAGGTTCTTTGTTTAATATGTTTAAATTTTTATGTAGTATGAAAAGGTGCGAATTTATCGTATGGATGGGTCATATCGCTCTGTTGAATTGAAACATGGAAACAATACTACTGTACAGCAGATAATGGAGGGGATGCGTTTGTCTCAAGAAACTCAGCAATACTTCACTATCTGGATCTGTTCTGAGAACCTCAGTAAGTAACAAGGAAGATCATTATTTATCATAGCTTTTTTACTTCTGCTTCCCTTTAGAAAAATATATTTTCTTAGGCAAATAAGAAACGTACTCTCTGAGAGCTCTGTATTACTCTATCAGCTTTTAAAAGCCATTTTTTAGGAGTTAATTTGTATCTAGGCTGTCTGTTAATACATTTTGCCGCTACTGGAGTCTGCAATCCCTGTAGGTTTCATTCTTTACATCTTTTGCATAGGGGATGAGACCAACTTTTCTATTTCCTCTGCTTAAGCTTTCCTCCAGTAAATCAACTCACAGCCTTTATAGCCTGATGTCTCCAAACTGTGCTTTCAGACCTATAGAGAACTTCTCCATTTTAGCCATCATTTTGGGTACTCCAGGTAGGTCTGACCCTGTATCACTGTGGCACCTAGAATGTATTTCATCTAGGAAGATGAAGCTAGTCCAGATTGCCTGTCTGTTATAGGGCATCTTGGCTGACATAGTCCTTACTGCTAACTTACCCTGATTCTAGTGGTATTTTTCTTCCCAGAGTATCTAAAATTGGATTAATGTAGTTGTTTTTACCAATGTTTAATCTATTTAAAACTAGTAATTAAAGCAAAGCTCATTTGTGTTTTTTCATTAGGTCTTTTAATCATATTAATTTTCATGTGCTTTGCACCAAAATGATTTTTGATAAACAAGTTTTCAGTTATATTTGGTGGGGAGAATTCTGATGCAAAATGTCATTACATTTGTATTTTTTGGTATTTCTGATCTAAATAAAAAGTATATTATAGTTCTAGTTTGAGATGTGTAGCAAAAGATAAATAGAACCACAAAAGAGTCAATGATTGTGACTGTGTTTTGTTAGAAAACATGGTAAACAGTACTACTGCAACAAGATAGCTATGGGACGCATTTTAATAGATCTACAAAGCACAAATTCTGGTCCAGTAGGGTACTGTGTTGATAGTACCATTACTATAGAAGCCTTGCATTTAAAATTTTATTTACTGTTGTCAATCTTCCACTAAAATGGCATTGTTACTTTTTTTTTTTTTAATCTATAAAAATTGCAGGAAATCTTTTCTTCATTCTTTTTAAATCTTTTTCTCCCAGTGTCATGCCATTTGCCTTTTTACTTTGCTGTATGTCACATGACTAGCGTAACCCGCAGTTAAACATAGATCTTAATGTCTGGAAGAAAAGAAAGTGCTTGAGTGTTGAAGTCTTTCCACTTGTGCCTTTTCTGAATATGTATGTGACATTTTACTCAAATCATTGAAGTATTACCCTTGGATTTGAGGGGAAGAGCTCACTGATACATCATTTGTTTAAAAACAAGTAATGCTCTAGATATTTAGCCTGAGTTTGAAATTGAGTCATCTTCTGCTTTACAGCTTCAAACAACTAATGGACCAGTTTCATTATAAAGTGCATTTCTTGCAGCTTGTGTACAATTGTAAAGACCATAGTTTTCCTGTTTGTAGGACAGATAATGTTTTTCTGTGTTTGAGTGTAAGGTGGATATGTTGAGTGAACAGATTATTCTCAGTGAAAAGATGTTGCATTATAACATGTCCTTTGTAGTTTTTTTTTTCACATATAATGTGAAATGTCACAATGTAACAGCCAGAGAAGTGAGGATAAGGCAGATACAGCCTTCTAGTTCCTCACCACTGGAAAAGAGCCAAGCAATGATCACAAGGGCAGGCAGGGTAGGTGAATGAGCGTAAATGAAGGTATAGATTCTTATACATAGTAGAACTGTAGTCAAAAGCTATGTATTAATCTCTCAGCTCTCATACACAGCCAAACATGAAGCATTGAATGACTGTACTCTGTTAAGAATCAAGACTTTTTGCACATTAAAAAAAGAATGTTCTCAAAAGTTTATGGTTTATATATGTTCAAAAATTACAAACATACTTATAAGCTGTATCTGCATTCTTCTGTCCGAAATAAGATTATTGGACTTTGTGTTTCTCCCATAATAATTGAGACAACAGTCTCTAATGTTTTTATTGTGGTTTTTTAGCTCTGTCTTGGTATTCCATTAAATTTTTAAATACCACTTCACTCTTGAGAAGCTGAAAATAACAAAGGTTCATCACTAGTGAATTTAGTGAATTGATGCTGAGAGTTTTATCAATAAATCCATGTTTTCAAAACCTTTTGCATATAGCAGTTTAGAAAACATAGGGAAAAATGTTAATGAGTCCTCAGTTTCAGATACTCTGGTTTTGGTGCAGCAGTTAATCATATATATATATATATATGTGTGTGTGTGTGTGCTGGGTTATTCTGTTTGTTTATTTATAAACAAAACCTGTTATTTTTCAGGCCTCCAACTGAAGCCATATCACAAGCCTTTGCAGCATATTCGAGATTGGCCTGAAATATTCACTGAACTGACAAACTTGGATCCTCAGAGGGAAACTTCACAGCTTTTCTTGAGAAGAGATGTGAGACTTCCACTGGAAATAGAAAAAAAGGTCTGCATTTGGAAGTGATAGCATGAAATTATGGTCAGAGTCAGAACACTTTGACCATCAACACTCATTGTGTTTAATGACTAGTAATTTCCAAACTTATTTAAAGTGGACCTTTCCTCTCCTTTTCTGTAATAGTTTGAGTCTTCAGGTTCTCCCTTCCTCCCATCTTTCTTCCCTTTCTCTCTTCTCTCTCACCTTCCCAACTGTTTGATTTATCATAAGTCTACGTGCCTCAGGCTCTATCTGTCATACAGCTAAAACCAACCTGCCCAATTTTCTTTCTCTTCCTTGTGCTGTGATTTTTCAGATATTTAATTGGTCAATTTCAAGGGCATTATTGAAACACGTTATTCAAAATGGATTAATGGAGGGGCAAAAAACACAGATGGTAATATTTCTGTGATCCTTTTGATTCGGCATGGTATGCTAGTCACTTTTAATTTGTAAGTGTTGAATTAAGTCAATTAAAATATGTAATTTTTTCTAGCATTACTAAAATGTATCCTTCAGTCAGGATCACACCTTTGTCTTACGTCTCTGAATCAGTAAGAAATTATTTTGTAGTTTCTAAGCTCATTTTCTTTTACAAAGAAATCGTATTACTTAAATCTTTTTAACAGATTGAGGATCCATTGGCTATTCTTATCCTTTTTGATGAAGCCAGATATAATTTACTGAAAGGTTTCTATACATCGCCTGATGCCAAGCTGATCACACTGGCAAGTCTGCTTCTACAAATAGTCTATGGAAATTATGAGAGCAAGAAACATAAACAGGGCTTTCTAAAGTAAGTATATGGGTTTAAAACATAAAATTATGGGTTTAGATTAAGTATTTTTAGATAGCGCCTAGTATGGAACTCTCAAATTCTAAGTATGATATATTATTTTTCTCCATCACTGAGCTCTAGTTCAGAGTAATCACGTAACTCTCATAGCGTTAATAGAAGCTGGACATGGGGTCTGAAAAATATATTCATCTTAATTCTTGCAGTCTCAGGCAGAGGGATGGAGGTTCTGTATCCTGAGATACAGTAATACCAAAATGAGAACCACCATTCATGTGAATGAAAGGTTTTGACAGGACTGAGACTTTGGACAATGCTGAAGAAACCTCTTACTGCGTCTAGTTAGATGGGCTTTCTGAGATGGGCTTTCTTCCCTCTTTGAAGAGGATAGACCATGCAGAGATATTATTTCTGTTCTTTCATTTGTATGTGAACTGCTATACTAAATTGGTCAGAAACATAGCACCAGCAGGGCTCTGCCAGATGGTGCTTTTCTCTCCCCTTCTCTCTGCTTGTCAGCACAACAGTAGCTGAGCTATTCTGAGATCCTTTTTTTTTTTTTCCCTCCCATGTGCGTTTCTCCAGCAGTATCTGAGCACATCAGGATTCCAGTTCTCTACTGTGTGCACATTCACTCCACCCCCTACCATCTCCACCTCAGTTCATTCATGTAACAGCAGCTGTGCTGTTCTGGAATGCTACGATACCTCTCACCTCCTCTCATTCACAGCATCAACCGAGTTGTCTTGGCTTGCTTTTTTTTGGTTGTATTCTCCACCATCAGTAAATCAGGGTGCGTTTTCTGTTAGTTACTCTGATGTAAGTGTGGGCTGCCTCTGAAAGGGCTGACTGTACTGACTGCACCTGTTCTTTCCATTCTCTTCGTTCTGTTAGGTGTAGAGACTGTACCAATACAGAGTAAGCTAGGTGAATGAGCTCACTGGCTGGAAAACTTTTGGGTGGGCTGTTCAGTAGGTTCAGCTATTGACACATCTTGTCCTGCAGTTACATGGTAGATTGAGCATAAGGAGAACTGGGTTTAAGTGGGACTGCCCACCTGCAGGAATGTGCAGTTAAACGCAGCTGGGTTTAATACAAAAGCTGCTCACCTGATGAGGCAAGATAGAGTAGGAGCTGACTGTGTAGCTCAATATGTGTCTTGATGATACAAATGGGGAGACATTGTTCTTTCTCCTTACTTTGTTTAGTGAAGAAAAACTTTTTTTCTACTTTTTCTCTTAGTGAAGAAAATCTTAAATCTATAGTACCAATCACTAAACTAAAAAGTAAAGCTCCTCATTGGACAAACAGGATACTTCATGAATACAAGGTGAGATAAAGAATCAAATAGTAAAAACTCCTGTCTTAAACATCTTTTGACTGTTTGGTTGTTAGTTAATTAATAAAAATACTGGAATAAAAAGCTAGAAATGTGTATGTTCTATATATTTGGAATGGGTTCTTGGATTGCTGTTTTTCTTGTACAGTTACAGTTGATCTGTTTGTGAGAAGCAAATATAATTGTCATCTATTCATTTGTCTTGAGTGTTAGCTGCATATTAGAGATATTGCCAATTCAGGGATACGTGTAAAAAAATCTACTCTGACTTATATTTTTGCATCTGCTTGTGGTGAGAAATCCACAAAGTCCTTTTTGCTAGTTAATTGAGCAAAATTTTTAAATGTAGACTTGGGCTGCTTCTGTAAAAGACATCTGACTGAGGGCTGTAGATTACAAACAGAGGCAGAGGCACTTGATTAAATTAATGAACTCCATAAAAATTGTGGAAAATGTGAGGTGTTGGGGGAGAACTGTACTGGCTGACATGCATCACTAAAGGTAGCTGCCAGGAAGCACTGCAGAGGCACCCAGGGAATGTTTTCAGGTCTTGCCCCTCTTTTGAGATGAGGTTACTCAATCATAAACTTTTTCTTGATGCCTACACCTTTTTTGTCAGAAACCAGCAGATCATTCCTGTTCTTTCTAACACAGATGAAGGAGGGGATGATGATTGTCTTCCTAAGACTATATATAGTGCAGCAGAGGGCATAGGAGAGCAGTCTCTACTCTTTCTTGTATCAGATAATATGTAACAGTGAGCATAGTTTTCTTGACTTCTGCTCTTAGGCTGTTATTTTGAAGGCGAAAGGAGTTGCAATCTTTTGTTGCAAAGATATTAATATATTTTGCATTAAAAAAATGGGTTTTGTAGAATTCAGATAAGCTGTAATGCAGGGTGTGGATCCAAAGAGGCTGGGCCCATCCACCACACCCACAGTTGTGGCCCCCTGACTGTTGAAGGCTTGTGTTCTCTCTCATGCCTGTGCCTTCTCATCTCATGTGTGGCCCAGACAAGTTGTTTGTTTGTTAGGGTACTACATATTGGTTTGTCCTGAGGCGGGAGCACTCTAGGGATCCTTTGTTGCGACTGTTTCACTCTCCTGAAGAGGAAGAAACAGAAGCCTGTCTCACTCTGAATGAGAGCTCCACTAAAGAAAAGAAATACGCACCTCTATATTGCTTAGCAAACCAAAAAAATCCACATTTTTTGGGAGGAGGTACTTACTCATCTTACCATGCCTCTGGATTGGATCCCTTACAGAAGGAAGAATGCTTAGTTGTAAGGATTGTGATGCATTTAGTATCAGATGGGTGCACAGCTGCTTATCCCTGATGAGTCCGACACACTTCTGAGAGAAGCAAAGCTGTGGGGCCCTGCAGAGGTTAGATTTCTGTGGTTCAGATTTCTGAGGTTCGTATGTGCACCTGCTTTCTGCCTTGGTCTCTTTTGGCATCTGAGCCTTTCTGTGGCTCTAGGGTTTAATTTAGATGTAGGAAGATGGTTGCTGGGAAGGCACTTTGGGAATACTAGTTTAGTGGGAATTCCACTAAGTAATGTTTTTTTCTTCAAATAACCACAGCTATTTGGGAACACTTGTTGATTGCCATTGTTCCTTTATTTCTAGAATCTCAGCACCAGTGAAGGTGTAAGTAAAGAGATGCATCACCTTCAGCGCATGTTCTTGCAGAATTGCTGGGAAATTCCTACTTATGGAGCAGCTTTTTTCACAGGACAGATATTCACCAAAGCAAGTTCAAGTAGCCATAAAGTCATCAAAGTGTATGTAGGAGTAAATGTAAAAGGGCTGCACCTCCTCAACATGGAAACAAAGGTCAGCTTAAGTGAACTGACAGTGATAAGTGTTAAGCTTAATGGTGTTCTCTTAAATTCTTTGTGCTCATAGTCATTTCACATCCAACTGTTTGTTTGAACTCGACTGTGAAGTTTTCCAAGATTTTAAGATCTTTATAAGGTGCTACTACTTGTATTTTCTCACTTGACTACTTTATAAGCTACAACTAGATTGTGGAACATACTATTCTAAGTCAGAATCCTGTCTAAGTGAACAAAAGAAAATTCAGATTGTAAGTATGGAGAATATTTTCTTAGTCACGGTTTCCTATGTTTCATTGTAGGCTTTACTCCTCAGCCTAAAGTATGGTTGCTTTATGTGGCAGTTGGGAGATGGAGATACGTGTTTTCAAATCCACAGTCTGGAAAACAAAATGAGCTTTATTGTGCATACCAAACAGGTAAGCATTGTCATTTTTCATCCTCTATGTTCAATTATTTTTTCCTAAACTAGATAGATGCTGCTTCTCTCTTAAGATTGACCACCCTTGTACAGTATCAAAGATGCCCAAGCCAAGCCCCCACAAAAATGCTCTTAAAACTTTCTCATAAAACTTTTTTTTTAATATTTCAGAATGTTTTCTTGTTTTCCTAGCATGTGAAGCCTTTAGGGTTCAGAATATGTAAAATGCATCTGTAATCATTAGGGTAAACTTTATTTTTTTTAATTGAAGCTGTTTGTGGCATGTGCCCAACCCCTCAGACTCTAAGGATAATTCCAAACGTGATGAGAATCACAGAGTTAGAGTTGGTAACTTTGCGAGCAAAACTAGCAGAGTTTGAGATTGGGTAAAACTTGGGATCTGTGATTGGAGTGTTTATAAAGCAACTTCACTGCAAATGCTACCATCAATTTTTGATAGTGTTTGTGGATGTCTGATGCAAAATACTTGTTTCACCCGTAGTCTGCATCGTTCGTAATATGCCACATTAACATGTATTGTGACAAAATTACAGCTTTGAGTATCTTGCATACTTTGATAATAATTCTTTTGATTCGTATATATTAAGGTGGTTATAGGGGAAGTGATTGAGTATTTTTGAAAAACTTTTTGATAGGTGAGAAAAATCCAGGTTTTATTTTCCTTCTAAAATGATGCAATTTCTAACTTATCTGCTTGCATTTGTCATATACTTGATCATGTCATAGTTCTGCAATGGTGATGGAATTTAATTGTATACCTTTATATAGGCAGGTCTTGTCATAAAACTTCTGATTAAATTAAATGGCCAGTTAATGCCAACTGAAAGAAATGAATAAAGGAAATGAACAGTAGTCATGAAACAGCATCTGATGGCTAAGCAAAAACCAACTTATTTCTCATCATAACAGAAGACTTCCATGTATGTGAATTTTACACAGTAGAAAAGTCAATTTGTACAGTTTTTTAACTTTGTACAGAAGCTGCATGTTTTATTTTTTAAAGAACTATTATAGACAACATATCTATTATTTTTATAAATATTTTTGTGTTTCATCTATAAGCTACTGTAGGTCTTGAGCTTAACCAATAAAGCTAATGAAATGTAAATAATTTACTGAGTTGGACAAGCGTGAATCAAGTAAGGCTTTTGTTCCCAGAGGACTATGAGACTACCAGTGCCACAAAGCAAGTCTCAGTTAACCTATTTACTTTTCATGTCATTCTGTGGAACATCAAGGTCGTTGTATATGTTACATATGAACATCAAGGTGGTTGTATATGTTACAGTATCTTGTAGACACACTTTATTTTTAAGATACTGTTGATAAGTATGCTTAAAAGACCAGTTGCACCTTTGAGCAACTACTTTTGATAAACTCTTATTTGGTTTCTGACAAATGTTATAGCTGGCTTTATTTTTACTCTTAACTTTCTCATACTTTGTATTCCTATTTATTCTAAAATATTGCATGAGGATGTCAAAAGGGAAATACTTTAAGCCATATTAAATGTTTAGCATGCTTGTTTTTAAAAAATAGATTTTTACTTTTGCTGTGCAATATAAAATGTGTATATGGAGGAGGGGGAGATACAGATTTACAAGTGAATATTAACTCAGAGGACTTCAGAAAGTTTAATAAATCTTACCCTGGATTGCAACACATATGCAGTAATGAAAACTCATACAGGAGGTACTAAGTTATTTCTGTTAAACTAATTTTCCTGATTAGTTAATTCAGTTTCTGGAGGCTACAAGCAGCACAGGATGCAGGAATGAAGACTGCAAGAAAGACAGTTTGCAAGCATTCTGCCTGCTCTTTGCAGAGTCAGGATTGTATCTCAACAAATTGAGTCCCAGGTATAAGGTGGGATCCTATGCAGTCTGAAGTGTATCCTTGTGTGTTAAAGTAGTATCACAGAATCATAGCATGGTTTAGGTTGGAAGGGACCTTAAAATCATCTAGTTCTAACCCCCCTGCCATGGACAGGGCCATCTACTAGACCAGGTTGCTCAAAGCCTCATCTAGCCTGGCCTTGAACACCTCCAGGGATGGGGCATCCACAGCGTCTCTGGGCAACCTGATCCAGCGCCTCACAGTAAAATATTTCTTCCTAATATCTAATCAAAATCTGCTCTCTTTCAGATGAAAACTATTACCTCTCATCCTATCTTTATGATCCCTGATATCTGTAACACAAATCTTTAAAGTTTCTGGTTGTATTTCAGGGTTTTAAGTGCACTTGACTATTTCTTCCATGTAAACTGCATGCTGAAGCAGTGTGCAATATTTTGTAAAAAAGTTTTTTAAAAAATAAAAGCACTTGCCTTTTAAGTTTTCAAATAAAAGTTAAAATGAATGTTAGGAGCTATGCTGTTGTGTAGTAACTTCACTCGTACCTCACTCCTAGTAAGTGCAGTTTAAGAAATTAAAGCAGTATGCAGTTAAAAAAAGTGAACAGGAGACTTACATTTTGTGATGTTCTTAAGCAAGCTCTACTTTTCCACTTAAACTTCACTGGCATAAATAAAAGTAAACCTTCCTGGATTGTTATATTTTATTTAAGGTAAATAATGCAACAGTCAGGTCCTTCGTAGTGCATTCTTACTATCACTTGGCACTGGTATCAGAAATACACTTCTCTACATAGCACTTTGTTAGAAAACTAGAAGGCGAATGTTAAAATGTGTCTCAGTTGCATATTTAACAATACTGTTAATATGCCTTATTGCTGTATAGTTCTTTCTCCTAAATTCTTATTTATCACTACCTAATAAATGGCTTGCAACAAGTCATGTTTGAAGTTTTTATTATTGCAGCCAGCATGAAAGTGTCATCAAATGTCTTACCATGCAGGTGTTATTACCAAAGAGCAGTATTTTGTAACAGGCTTGTCTTTGCAATGTATATAGGAAGATCATCAGCTAGGATCATAGGGAGGGTCCCATGGTGACTACAAATTAAGATAGTGCACCTCAGAAAGCACTCAGGAATTTATCAGGAAAACTAGAAACTGTTAGTCATGGCAAACCAGCAGTCTGCAGATCTTCTGTGTCAGTGGAGTCAAGTACTGAGAGACAGGGTTACGCAGTCCTGGCAGGCTTCTGGCACCTGGGCACACAGGAGTTTCAACTCTGTTGCTGTGACAAGGAAGGCTAGTACAATCCTTTCAGCTAACAGTGGGGAAATGGAAAATCAGAACAGAAAGAAATCCAGCACTGTAGAGACACACCACTAGTAATAATCCTCCTATCTGTACTGAACAAAAAAATGAAAATGAGCTCTGAGAATAGCAAGCCTGAAAATTATGCCTTTGTAAGCAAGAGATACTCAGCTCAACTCCTATAGCTTATCTAACAAGCACTTTTTAAAAAAGTGAGTAACTGTATAGCTGATGAAGCCAAGATTTGGGAGCAGAATACTCCATCCAGGAACAGTACCACAATATAGTAACTGAAAACTTAACCCTGTGAAAAACATGTGCAATTTTATCAAGTGGAATAATTAATCATCAGGCTAGGGTGCTGACCTGAGGCTTGCTCACTGCTAAGCACAGGCCTTGCTTTGGGCAAGGAGGGGGCCCGCCTAGGATGGGGGGCCTTTAGCCGTGGTGGAGCAAACCTGCATGACTTGAGGTTAGCGATAGGCTGCATTGCAGCAAAACTCCAGTCACCCACAAATCGGTCTTTGGCCTTAAATTTATAGCCTCTGTAATGGCTCCAGTTCCAGCTTTGCACCCTCAGGCCGCGACCAGCTGCCCTCAGCTCTCTGAGGGGTGCCCTGCAGGGAGCGGCAGCCCCAGCGCTGAGGTGCCTGTGCCAGGTCTTGGTGTGGTGGTGGCTGAGGTGGGTGTCGAGATGGGGTGCCAGCCTCCTTTTCCCTCAGTCAGGAGGTGTTTGAGTTCAAGGGATGCTTCTGTCTGCAGCAGAGGGAAGGCAGTGGCTTGTCTGAGAGGAAGGCCTTGGTCCTGAGGGAAGCCCCTCGCGCAGCACAGATGTTGTCCTGCTGCTGTTTTGGTGACAGGGGAGTTACTCTAGAAAGGTAGGAGCTTCTGTACCGCTCTTAGCTCATAGCTCGGTATAGAAAATAGGCTGTTACTGAAAAAATGCAGATCCAGCCCCAACAGAAATTATGTACTTGGTTTGCAAAGGTTACATTTGACCTTAAAGTTTTTTTAGTAATATGGGGTAAGGACATGACAATAATTTTGCACAACTGTACTCCATCACCTTGTATTAAAGGAACTAGGAAATAACATAAGCCTACTAGAGGGACTCACATTTGAAGACTTGTGTAAGACAGTATAAATCTTCCTGTCAGGGGAGAGGAAAAGACCACCTAATACCTTGGTTTGTCAGCTGGCAGTTAAGTGAAGTTGGGAAAACACTGTATATGATGATACATCACTAGTGCAAGAGAACAAAAGTTTAACATAGTAAATGAAAGTTTAAAGCAGGAAGAACATGCCAACAGAGCTCTAGAGAACTGGGGAACAGGCACTGAGCTGAGAAGTGTCTGTGGGCTGAGGCAGGTCAGGCTGTTCTATGAAATCTCAAGCAACAAATCACACATTTGTGATGTATGTTTTGTGATCTGTAGTTTATTTTCTGGAAAAAACAAAGTATTAAAGTAGCAAATACTGCAGTAAAATAAACCCCTTTTATAGGTAAACAGGGAAGTAGGAGAGTTCACAAATGTGGAAGAAGCCTAGACCTTTATCAAGATCTGTTACAATTGCTACCATAGTCTACTAATGTTAAAACACATTATTCCGCATAGGTTTCCCACTTACAGTTTGATTTCTTAAAAAATACTGATAAGAATCAATTAGCAACCCAGAAAAAGGAACAATGTCTCTGGAGAAAGAAGATGAAATTCCAAGTAATCTAAATACAAAAGGAAAAGCTCATGAGAGCTTTCCAGTTAATGAATTCATCAGAAAATCCTAAATTAGGCAACCTAACTACAAAAAGTTTGAGTGAAATTTCCCATGAAGTTCCTAAAGCAGCTGGCAATGAGGAAAGCCATAAAATGACTAGAAATAGATCAAGAAGTGATATACCTGAAAAAAGGTATGAATGTGAATTCTCAGTTGAGATAAATGCTGCCACAATGCCTCAAGGTGTCCCTGAAACAGGTGTGAGAAAATACACACTACTTAGATCAGCTGAAAAAGATACTGGAGAACTAAACTAAATCCTTCCAGAAGCTGTCAGTGGAGATGCCAGACCAGACATATTAACCATTAGCAAGGAATCCTGAAAGTCACGAAAATGGATGAACATATATGTTGCCCAAAGAAAAATATGAGAATTTCACACTCAGACTAAATGATAAAGGACTAGGGCGCATGCCTCTGGTTGCTTTTGAAACCCAAAATTTAAAATTTGCTCTTATGTAACAATGAAATAAAAATATTACATTCAAATATAGGTAATATAACTAATCTGGAAATCCTGTTACTTGAAAGAAATAAGACTGTTGCCACCAGAAATACCTTTACTTCACAAACTGTACTGAACCTTGGTCACTACCAGTTATAACGTCTCCCTAAAAGCATTGTCAAAGCTTGTAAATATTAAATAACTCTTTCTCAGTCACAACACTGATGAATTTTCTTTTGCATTAGAAAGCCTTGAAACTTCAAAGCTTGTAGGCAACAAGCTAAAAACTTTGCCAGATACTATAGCTGACATGAATAATTTGAAGGTACTGAACATTGATTCTAAAACAAATCTCAGTGTTCTCAAGGGTTCTCTGCTCCCTTCCTCATCTGCTGAAACTCAGCACATGTGAGACTGCATTCAGAGTTTACCAAAGGATATTAAAGAGCTTAAGAAACAACAAGAATTTTCAATTAGTAAAAATTTTCACCTGTGGAGATTTCTATATGACAAAACTGAAAGTACTCAGAGCTGTTGAAAACAAATTGGAGTTTCTTTCAGATAATGTGGAGAATTTATGAGAACTCAGTTTTCTGAAGCTTGCAAAAAATTATTCAAAAGCATTATAATCTTTGTGACTATAACATGTTGAAACATCCCATTATACATAATAATCAATTAACCCAG